CCGCGAGTAGCTACAGAGCCAAAAGCAGCAAAAAGCACTCACCCGAGCTCCCGTTGCGTCCATTTCGCCTTGATATACCGTTTACGTCGTGTTCGGGTCGACATGACACCCTCCGGGGGCTGGGGTAACAGCGTCGTGGCTGGTGTTGAGTGCTACAAGTTACATGTTAGCGCAGCACACTCGGTATCAGGGAAAGTAGACGACTTACCATCAGGGTCATCTCGTCCTGTATCCGTTTGGCGTTGACGTGGAATCGCGGGTGCTCGACTAAGGTGAAGACGGGAGAGTCAAAGGCAAAGTGGGCGTAAACTGTAAACGAGCGAGGCCGCTGGCCAATACCCGTGTTCTGGTTACCTAGAACCCGTAGAAAAATTCGAATAAATCAGTATAGTACTTGTATATGCGATCGTTGACTCACTTGGATGAACGGGGGCCTGGCCACCGATCGAGTGTTGCGTACTTGCGTAGGGTGTGTAGCCATACGGGCCGCACGAAATCGACCCAAACTTCGAGGGGTGGCTTTTTGCGGTTACTGTTTTCGACTCTCATCGCCGAAATACCGCGTCGCCTTCGTTCTCAGTGTTGCGTGAACGAAGGTGTCGACAGTATATACACCAGACACTCGGCCGTTACGCCCAAGAATCGACCCGGAAACTCGAGCATGGCATATAATTCGAGTTTTGGGTCGACTGGGTATGCGGAAAGGGTTGGACGGTCGGCCGGGCAAGAGAATGACGAGAAGGAGGACGGGCGTACAAGGACAAAAGGGACGGGGATGGAACTAAACGCGGGATATGGTGATAAACGTCCATGAAGAGCCGGGACGTCTTGTTTGGATGGAGTAGCTACGGAGAATAGGGGATTTACACAACACAATTGAAGCCCTCCAATGCTCTCATAATGAGAATACGGAATTGGGGGAGCAGGTCACTCTGTCAGAACCAAGGTTCTTGACTTTGAAAGAAGATAAAGGAGGTTTTATTAGATTCTAAACACAATGGGAGAGACCGAATGACTTTAGCCTTCACGAATATTGCTGGAATGGCATAGGAAGTGGGGAGGCAAGGCGTTTGGAGTATTCCCCTGTGTGTATAAAGTCTAGACTTTCGATTCCTGTGTTATATAGCATATAGTAATATTATCGAGATTGGTTAGTTGCCAGAGTGGCCGTAAATCCCTCCATTCGCTCCTAGATTTCGAGTTTGTGTCTCCCCACTATACCAGCAGTACTATAGCACCGCTTGACAGTCTATATGAGTCTATAGGACTATATATGACATAAGCGGTGGTTATCACCAGCAGCTAGGCCATTCCAGTCTCATTCTATGCTTCTAGGGTGGGGCTACTGACTTGGAGGTTTTGCTGTCAGCACAAAGGATTTTGGCATCAGACGGAGATAACAGAGGTTATTTGTCATTCTGAACACGATGCGGAAGACTGTATGACTTTAGCATCTCTGAATGTAGCTGGAGTGAGGCTAGACTCGAAACTGGGCAATGCTGGACATTTCTCCTCTTTAATGTTATCTAAACTTTCGCTTCAGATTCTATGCAATGTAAAATGATATCATATGCACTAAGCGAGCTTCTGTGGGTACATGAAAGGCTGGAAACATCTCGATTCGATATGGCTTTGGCCTGTGTTGTCTCCTCACTATAATAATGATATGGTACCTTCTCTTTGGCACGCATTTGTGTCTATAGATTGTTTTGTACCCAAAGCGAAGGATACATGACGCAGCTGGGCCATTTCAGTCTCATTCCAAGGAGCTATGGGAGGACAGCTAGCCGGCTAGGACTAGCCAATGAATAGCTTGCCTGTAGTGATCTTGAGGTGCGCTTTGGTGTTGAATAGATCATGTCTCACTGAATTACCAATTTACAAACTATACCTATACTGGTCGGCTGAAAACTGACCTTGTATGTATGGATGCTCGATGTGAGTATGAAAGACTCGACAGCTGGTGAGCTGCTTTTTCGGTAAATTAACTCATGATAGTTGGGAAAGGAACTGACTCGAGAATATTAGGATTCATTTCAACAATCCTGGGCCACTCAAAAGGGGCTAGCCCAGCACACTTGCCCGAGTTCCCTTTGCCTTCGACTCACCCTCAATGCCTGACACAAATGCCAAGTCCAGCCACACCAAAAATGATTTCACAGACAGATGGAGAAGAATCCTATCGGGTAAGCAATTCGTTTCATTCTCCCACTTTACATTTGCAATACTGACTTTCACTTCTAGCGTTCTAGCTTGTCCAACGACACACCC